CCGATGATTTTACTTTTATGGCATCAACTCTGTCGTACACGGAAGTACAATACACAATTAGGAAAAGGAGACTCAGAAGAAAGGCACTGCAGCTTACAAATTCAAAAAAGTACAGTCCTCCGCACAAAGTACACTGTGATACAACTTCTTCACAGATAAAGGCCAGCAGAGACAGCAGCTACAAAAGAAGAAAAACATTTAAGTATTTTTCAGAGAAACTACTGTACTCAAAAAAAGAAAAAAAAAAACCACAAGTTCCCTCAAATATTTATAAAGCAGAGATTATGGCAAACAAGATTAGTGAATGAACTTCATCTATACAGCTGAATGATAAAACATGGAAATCAGGGTGTTGTTATGAAAACACAGGAAGGGCTTCCAGAAGAAAAGTTGGGACATAAGGACGGCAGGGTCAGTTTTGTGGTGAAAGACATGGAGAGAAGCTCCCAGCAGAGGAATAGTTTACAGAAAGGTCCAGGGAGTAAAACCATGGCACCCTCTCCCAAACACACACTCCCACTACCCTCAAATGAACAGTGCAAGTCAGTCAAGTTAACATGACTAAAGTGTAGTTTGGGGAAAGAAAAGGGCAGCACCAAAACTATTATATGAAATTAGAGGTCATCGCTTCTCGGCCTTTTGGCTAAGATCAAGTGAAATTAGAGGTGAGCAAAGGCAGATCTAATTCTCTTCATGAACTACTTTAAGGTAACAGAGTGACATGGTGAGGTTTACGCTTGATACTGAGAAGGGACTGGAACTGGCAGATTTTAGGGCAGACAACCAGTAGGAAATCACAAAGACAGTGACCAGAGGTGGTAGTAATGGTAAAGAGTGACTAATACCTAAGAGAGGAGAAGTCTTTATCAGACAGGATGAATGGAAATAAAATGGAACATAAGATAAGACATGTACTTTTAAACACATGGATTTTAGTTACAAAAGCACATTTACTCATCAATCTTCTGAAGTGAGTCTTTTCTTTGAATATAGGTCTGCTGTTGGAATTCCATATCATAAGCTATCATTTCTGGACTGATGTGATATGGAGCAAGATCTTGGACACTTAAGAAACAGTACAGAATCTCTCTAGAGTTCAACTGATTTCACTATTACAGTTGCTTTACATAATTCCACAGCTGACCAATATCTTAGTAACTTAACTTTCAGTCTTTCCAAAGCATTCAATTTGGCTTTCATAAAACACTTCCTTTTGACACTGTTTCGTTTGTGTAATAATTAACTAAATGTTTGACCAGAAAAAGCATTATTAACATAGTCTGGTATGGGAACAACACACCTCAGCTGAGGTCAGAAGACCACAGAAGTGCTAAAGAGGCACCTACTGGCCATGACAGGTTTGGGCGATGGGTGGGGTCAGGGTCCCAGCCCCGGCACAGAGTGAAGAATGGTGAACTCTGATTAATCTGGCAACTCTTCCATGCAGGTGGGTTTTAATGGCACGTACGTTGTTGTATGTGTGTTATTACTGGTGCCTCGTGGCAGAAAAAATCTAGTATTTTCTTGTTAAGAGGCAAGGGTGCTGGAGAGAGAACTGTGTTTTAAATGTGCTGTGATTGGAGGAGTCTGTTGAAGATCTAGGTGCAGAGTCAGTGGTGATGGTTAATCTTGATTGTCAAATTGATTAGATTAAGAAAAGTCTAAGCAATTAGTGAAGCACCTTTCTAGGTGTGTCAATGGGTAATGAATTAGTGAATTAATCCAACTTCATCAGTGAAATTAACCCAATGATGAGATAAAATTTGATGGAATTACTGGGAGGTGATAAAAAGAGGAGGTGGGGCCTGGCTGGAGGAAGCGGATCATGAGGGGCGGGATGTTGGGACTGTAGGTCCCCAGCCCCTTCCTCTGTGGCTCTTCCCCAACTTTCAGTTTCCCTGTGAGCAGCTATCTTCTGCCACACCCTTTGCCATGATGTTTCTGCCCAAGGCCCAGCACGGCAAAAATGAAACCTTTGAAACTGTGAGCCAAAACAAACTTTTAAATTGTTCACACCAGGGATTTTGTCCAAGTGACAGAACGCTAACTAACACCGGAAAAAATGGATTATAGGTCTGGAGTTTGGCGGAGAAATTTGAGATTCAGATAAAGATGTGAGAGGCAGGTGAGTGAGAGGATGGGATCACCCAGAATGAGGAAAGTTGGCTTTATGCAGAACTCAGGAATCTTAAATTTTAAGGGATTCACAGAAAGGAGACATTAGCAAGAACAAGAAGCAGCAGCCCAAGGGGTAGCAGACAAGAACAAGTATTTCCACAAAAAGAGTAATCATGAGTGCTAAATGCTACCAAGAGGCCAAGGATGAACAACACTGAAACACCAATATTAGTCTGAGCTACAAGAAGGGTGCTGGTGACATCAGGAAGAAAATCCCAGTAGGGAATTCTAGCCGGGTAGAGAAACTTGATCATCACAGTATTGTTTGTGTGTGTGTGTGTATGTGTGTGTGTGTGTGTGTGTGTGTGTTGTGTGTATTGGGAAGTGAGGAAAAGACAAGGCAGTGGAATTGGGACAGCAGAGTCTAGAAATGTGTCAGGGAAAGAGTGGCCAGATTGAGCTGTAGTAGATGAGGTCAAAGGAAAGGAATTTTAAGATGGGAGAGCAGAGGACATATTTCATTGCTTCAGCAGAAACCAATTAGCTGGGTGGGTCTAAAGACAAGGCAGTGAAGAGCTCTCTAGAGAACAGACTCAAGGCTCAGGTCTGGGGCCCACTCTTCTTTAGAAACCAGACAGAAGAGTACGCTTGGGCAGTATGTGTGGGAAGCTGATGGAGTTTCCTCCTGAGCGCCAAAACCATCAAAGTGACTGGTGACTCATGTAAAACTGAAGGGAAATGTCACCTTTCCCTAATAAAGTCAGAAGAAACAACCAGCCACATAATGGCAATAAGACTGCTATCAAAAATGAACAGATACTTTAAATACCATGAAATAAACACCTGTCCTACATTTTCATTGTTAAAATAAGAAACTATGGTACCACCACTCTGGAAAAAAGTTTAGTAGTTTCTTCAAAAACTACACATGTAAAAAATAAATTAAAAAAAAAAAAACTATGCATGCATCTACCTATGACCCACCAATTGCACTCTTGGGTATTACTCCAGAGAAATGAAAAGTTATGTTTGTGCAAAAACAAGTACTGTACATGAATGTTTGTGACAATTTTATTCACAACTGTCCCAAACTAGAAATAATCCAGATGTCTTTCAATGGGTAAACTGTGGTATAGCCCATACCACAGAATATTAATAATAAAAAGGTACAAAAGTGGTATTTGAAATAACCTACGTGAATCTCCAGAGAATGATACAAAGTAAAAAAAAAAAAATCCAGGTCGGGGATTTAGCTCAGTGGTTTCGCCACCTGCTGCGCAAGCGCAAGGACCCGAGTTCAATCTCCGGTACAAAAAAAAAAAATCCATCTTCAAAAGGTTGCAAACTATACAATTCCATTTATATAGCATTCTTTGACTAACAAGAATGATAGAGAGGCAAAACAGATTAATGACAGCCAAGGACGTCTCATGACAATGGAGTCCTGCATCTTGATTATGGTGGTCACTACGGGAAGCTATACATGTATTAAATTGCAAAGAACTACCCACTAAAAAGGAGTAAACAGGGCCTCTCTGTACATTTTTGGTTATTTCTTGTAAATCTATAATTATTTCAAAATAAAAAGTGAAAAAAAATAAGAGGCCAAATCTAAATTGGTATATAAGCCTCTAAGGTATTTTCCCCTCTTTAACAGCAATATAAAATTTATACATTCCCACAACTAAAAAGAATTTATATGAGGACTGAAAGAGATTGGAATGCTCTACTTTTCTGTAAATTATCAAAGTGTGAAATAGCCCCACATATCCCAAATTACTTCCCTCAGCCAGATATTAGTTGAAGCATTCCCAATCGTTACACCACAGGATACAGTGACAAAACAAGACAAATACCAGATCATCACATAAAGATATTTTCTTACTGTCCTATAATTACCATTATAGAATGAATTTTTTATGACTATAGGATAATAAAATACTAAATGTCTAATATGCAACTTTACTCTTGCCTCTATGTTAAACATTGTCCATCGTTATGAGAAATTCATAAAATATACCTTGGGTGTATGAAAGTCATTTAACTGAAAAGATAACAGCCCAAAACTTTAATTGAGGTTTGAGAATAGTTGCTCATGAACCGTTCTTACTGCATAAATTAGACCATGAAGACCACTCACCTGTAAAGCTACATGACAATAACAAAATCTTATCTATAGCATAGATATAAACTGGTTTTTGTCTATCAGTGGTAAGAAAAGGGCAGCAGACTCAAGTCGTGACAAGTCCTGTTCCAAATGTACTAACAGAAGGGCCAGGGATTCAACTCAGTGGTTCCGGCACCTGCCTTGCAAGTGCAATGTCCCGAGTTTGATCCCCAGTACCAAAAAAAGCCAAACAAATATATTAACAGGTGTGGTTCTTACTGACCTGCCTCAGAGCAGTATTAGAGGCAGGTCTTCCCTGGCCTTCCTAAGAGAATGAAGGGGTACGGTATTAAGTATGGACACTTACTCGTTCCTATCTCCAGTTTCAAAGGCCAAGCTTGACTCAGTAGGAAATTTTCTCCCTCCGCTCCTGAGGCCACTAACCTTCCTTTATAATCACCTACAGTACTACTTAGTCTCTAATACAAAATCTACTTAAGTATTAAGCATCAATATTACGTATATGAACATTAAGGATGGAATAACAAGATAAATGTATGAAAACAAAATGTTTTATACCACATGATTGAACATTCATTATGTGTAAGTTAAGAAAATCTCTCCAAGAAGCTGGAGAAGGATGAATAGAAATGTAGAACTCCAGTTAGGGCTTGAGAGACAGACTCTGGATAGGAAAAGAATGAGGGGGCTGCAGATTGATGAAGGCAAGAATCGCATGGTAAATTCGAAAGGGATTACAAAACAAACAACCAAACTACCCCGGGATGATGAGGAAAATGATGACATAGTCAGGTGTGGCTCTGTGATGTTCACACAGGGAATATGGGCTTCTAGACAAAGGCCATAGAGAACACCCACATGTTTTAGTAGGTTAAAAGACAGGAGGAGCAGAAGACTGGGTGGGACCTGAAAGAATTCTACAGTTCAAGAGTGGGAGGGAAACAAGCAACCAGCACAGGAAAAGCAAGTCAGAAAGTATTCTTTAAAACAAGCCAGGTGTGGTGGCACATGCCTTTCATCTTAGCACTTGCGAGGCTGAAGCCAGAGGGGATGGCAACCCACCTGGGCAATTCAGGGAGATCCCATATCGAAATTAAAAATAAAAAGAACAGGGCTGTAGCTCAGCGCAATAACCTTGGGTTAAACCCCCAGCACTGCAAAAATAAAACTGAGGAAACCCTAAAGACTCCAAACAATCAGTGATAACTGGGAATGTGAGGATGAGGAGGTGGCTTAGTGTATTTTAATCATATTTGCTGTAGTCAGGGTTTGCAAGGGAATAGATTTAATACAGGATACATGATTTATAGGATTATTTTATAATATTCATCCAAAAAGTCAAATGCAGAGGAGTGCAAAAGATCTTTCCACACAGTGGAGACTCAAAGAACCCAGCTGAGGGCCTGAACCCTACGGCAATGTCCCACACAAATCCAGCTGAAGGCCCAGAGCTCAAGGCAACGTCCTCCACAAGTCCAGCCAGAGCCCTAGAGCCCAAGGCAATGTCTCATGCAAGTCCACATCGAGAACCTGCACTGGAAAGGGTCAAAAACCAGTGGTGGAAGCTAGAAAGCCTGTGCCAGTGAGGTGAAGGACCTGTGCCACCAGACTGATTTGCACTAGAGCCAGGAAGTGACACTCAAGGGAAAGACCAGAGCTCCCCTGATGAGAATAGCAGCCATTCCCAGAGACAGTGAGGAGGCAGACACTTTTGTACTAGAAAAGAAAAACAAGTGTGATAGCTAAGGTAAGGAAGAATTTCAAGAAATGGATGGTCACCAGTATTAAATACTAAAGGAGTCAAGGATAGGAAGAAAGAAAACATCACTGATATAGGTATCAAGTTAATGACGAATGCAATCCACAAGTAAAATGGCTCAATTATTATTCGGGGCGGGGGGCACTCTTCTTTAGAAATTGGACAGAAGAGAACAAAGAGATTACACTTGGGCAACTTTGCTTTCAATAGTATGAAGTCATCACAGTAAATACCACTTAATAAATATTAAGCTAGGTATCTAACAACTATATGGAATGTAGCTCCTTCTAAGGACAAAATTTTACCCAAATATAATTAAAAGAATTATCAAGCGTTTAAAGTTGGGAGAGCCTCTGGAGAACATGTAGCCCCCACCCTCAAGTTTAAAGATGGCATTTAGCTTCCAGTAGACTAAAGCCCAAGTTAGGCAACCATAGGCAAAAACCCTGCCTCCTACACTGTACTTGTGCCCAGTCGCCATGAAACAGTTGATTAATTTCATCTTATGATTGTGTGCATTTGTGTAGGTTTTCCTTGTAAGACCAAGTTTTTGAAGTTACAATTTCCTTTTTTGCTATTAGGTCATATAGTAAAAATATGTTTGTTAGGATTAACCCATTTGGAAAGTTTCAGTAACTAAAACATAGTCTTAACCATGGCTCTGGTGAACCATAAATGGTTCAACATTCAGATATTAGATGACTATCCCGTGTCTCCATTTCAGCTTCATTAACTTTTCTGAAACTTCAAATCTTCCTTAAAACTAATAGTCATATTGAATACTAATTCTTTATCATTTATCTTTAACAATCTACTACCTAATTTTTTTCAGTACTAGGGATTGGACCCAGAGCCTTCACACTGAGCTACACTCCCACCCCTTTTTATGTTTTATTGAGACAGGGTCTCACTAAGTAACCCAGGCTGGGCTCACACTGGCAATCCTCCTGCCTCAGGCTCCCAGGGTGTGCCATCATGAGGCTGAAACAGGAAGACCAGAGAGAGTTTGAAACAAGCCTGACTTGCATAGTGAGACCCTATCTCAAAAAAAAAACTATTGTTTGCCATTAATTATAAGGCATCATCTACAAAATTGTATGAATTTATGAATTATAACTATTAAAAACTTTATAGTTGAAAGTTTCAAATTTTAAAAATTGTCAATCTGAAGAAATAGGCTAAGCCTCCATAGCCATAAACAATTTATTTACCCTTACAAATATTTAATGATCTAATTGCTGACATTATATATCTTTCTCAAGGTAAAAATAGAACATTTCCATTTAGTATACATCAGTTTGCCCATTTAAGCAATGAAAAGGCATCAGCATAATAAAATTTCTCCTGAGTGATTTGTTTCTTCATACTTACAGAATAACATTATTTATACTCTAATAAACAAATCACTGGTGAATCCTATAACAAACTGTTTGGCTGAGCAATGACTATAATCTCAGTACTGTGCAGCCATCAGGACATGCAAATGGTGCCAAGACACAATGTGGAGCTTGTTACAAAGAGAAAATTACACATATTTATTTAGGTCACTGCACCAGCTAATTAGCAAGTAATTAGGTTGCCAAATGTCAATTTGCCCCTTAAAGCAAAAATAACCCTCTCAAAAAATAAAAAGTCGCAAAATAAGAGCATAGGGACAAGTATATGGACAGAATAAACTGGAAGAATGATTGCATAAATTTAGGATTCCATAACTCCTTACACTGATTTCTCAACTGCATTGTTTCTACTTCAGCTCTGAAAGGGCATACAGTGTTCAGGGGACACTTAAGTTTTGGATGAGCCTTTGACAAAATTCAGGCCATATGTGAATGACAAACACCACTTCATAACTCCAAAAACTAGAAAAGTTATGTTCTTTTATCTCTAACCTCCTCCTGTATGCACATGCAGGCTCCACCCTGCATCTCTTCAGTGTCAATCCCCTTCTGTAATAGCAAACCCCACACAGCCTCAGAGATTTGAAAAAAATCTTAAGAGTAGAAAAAAATCTCAAGAGATAATCCAATTCAACCTAAGATTCCAACATAAGAATTATCCAAGTACACAATGCTTTGTTGTTAATTTTTAAAACAGGCTTCCTTTCTCTTTTACGATCTTTGACAATCTAATATTTATAGATCTATAATAATATAATGAAACACATAAATGTACACTTTGAGTACAATTTCATAGAGTTGTAGGTTCTTTGTTAAAATACTGTATCTTCTGATTTACAGGTTTCTCCATTAGTTGTTTCCTTGGAGCTCTGCAATTCTGTTTAGTTTTTTAAAATAAATCATCCAAAATAAAACAAATTAAAGGCAGAGTTTGGGTTAAGGCAAAGATCTTTTCTATTGCCCAAGCTGGATAACAGTTTTTATTGACTTTATCTCTAACTTTCTTGGGACTTTCTGGGTAATGCTGTAATATGTTGCTATTGTGAGGAGATAAGACATTATTACAAGACATAGCAGGAAAAGAGACAAAGGAATCGAAAGGCAATAACAACATTTTAAAGCTTCATGTTAAAGCTTTCTTGTAACCTAGGTTTCCCATAAACAAATAAGTAAATTTTATGAAGAAACATTGGTTTGTATTATTTCTCATTTCTCCTTATGAATGATGGGGACCAAAAAGGAATTGCCTGACTTTTTTAAGGCAAGTTAACCTTCTGTGCATTCAAGTTTAAAAGTCTACCAACAAAACTTCTGGCTGTGTTCTAGTCTGAAGATATACAACTACAGGTTACTAAACTATAATAAGGTAATGAGAAATTTTACTTCAGCTTTGCCACTTCTGATTAGAATGGAAAGATAAAAGCAGATGAAAGTAGGAGATATAGGCAGCAGACCAGTACAAACAATTTATTTTCAACAGCAATAATGCTTCCATTGAACAGTAATTCTTTTCTAAAGAGTTTTATTATTCATATAGGAAACATTCATGCTTTACTGTAGAGAGGCAAAGCTGATGTTTTAAAAACCATCTAAGAGCTGATAAAAGAAAGAACAGGAACACATCAAGGTTAAAGGAACAGTGGCAGAGGGGAACCCATGATGCCTGGTAAGAGCCTAAAGGTGACCAGTGAGGACTACTCAGAGGGCAGCTGGAAAGACAGGGCCAGACTGCATGGCTTCCACTACCACATTATCCCTCGTCTCCAAGTGATTTCCCAATCATCCCTAGATATGATCATTTGGGTGGCTAAAAGCAATGCCAGTTTTCGGACTGCTGTTTTTCTACATAACAAATGAAGGTCATCTTGAGTTCTAGGAATTCAAGTTCTGGTCATCCGAGCTGTAAGAATTTAAGCTCTTCCCAAGAAAACCAATAAGCTACATTTACTTGGGATAGTTAAAAAAAAAAAAATCTATAAACACTCTAAGCATTTGGATTTTTCCCAAAATGTTCCTCTTGCAGAAAATGACAGCCATCAGTAGTAGAAACAGTACACAGGGGCTGAGTGTGCCTGTCAGGTAAATTATAATTTAAACCTCAAAAATGCTTTGATATTTTCACTAATAGGTTTATGCCGAAAATCAACTCAATGAATTGAAGAGGTATACCATATCCTAGCTCTGCTACCTCCACATACACACGAAACGATGTCCTTTCGACTTTCTACCTCGAACACACAACTGAAACTATCCAACAAGTTAAACTGCCCCTCAGGGTTTAGCACCAGGAAAACCGCAAGAGCCAGAAAAGACAGACTGCACTGCCTTCGTCTCCCTGCACTCTGGGCGATAATGAAGCGTGTTCCCGGGAGAAGAGGAAGGAAGGTTGCCACAGAGGGTAAGTGAAAGACGTCGCGGTCGCCGACCTGGGTCTTCTCCGACGCATTTCCTGGGCCCGCCAACCACGCTCAGCGGCCTCGATCGCCCTCAGGGGCTCAGATGGAAAGAGACCCAGGGAAGCCGGGCGACTAGGTGAGACCTGGGAGGAGAAGGAGGGCAACGCCCCCTTCCCCGACGGCTCGGGAAGGGACGGAGATGAGGAAACGGACGCTTCCCGAACATCCACACTGAGCAGCTGCCCAGCAGCCTCGCAGGCCCGCGGGCCGAGGCCCCCAGCCGGACCCTGCTTCCCGCCCGGGCTTACCCTCCGCCGCCCTAACTCACCAGCTGCAAGCCCTTGAGGACGCGCCGATGCAGCGGCAGCCGGCCCAGAGAGAAGTGCGAGGCGAGTCCGCTCCGGGCGCCTCTAGTCGGGCCAGGGTCCTCCTCCGTGGTGGGGCTGTACACCGCTCCGTTCTCCATCGCCTAGGGAAGAGAAACCCGCAGCCCCGACGGCAGGTCTCCAACTTCAGCCGCCGGAGCAGAAGACCTCAGCAACCGAGCTGAGGGCGTCACTTCCTGGGCTTCTTCCCCAGCTTCCGGCCGACTCCGCCCCTCACGTCACGCCCCCCTATCTGGCCACGCCCCTTCCCGCTCGAGCCTTGCCCATCTAAAAGTCCTGTCAGCTCTGGGGCTTCTGGCTTTTGCCCAGGAGTTGGGTACTGTACTTTCCCTGGACTTTTTTTTTTATTCCCTCAAGGTGCTGGGGATTGAACCCAGGGCCTCGCATATGCATGCGCTCTACCATTTAGCTACATCCCCAGCTCCTAACCATGGACTTTTACCCTTCCCTCTTTCGGACATCTTTCAGACCTTCAGCATTCTTTCAGTCAGTATTTTTTGAAAGTCCACAGTGTGCAGTGAGCCCAATTCTAGTTACTAGGGTTACAACCATGTACCAAACAAACATGCAAGATCCCTGACCTGTCGGTCCTGCCTTCCAGTAGGGTGGTCATTAAAACAGTAAACAGATTCCTAAGGATTTCAGGCAGTGATGAATGATATAAAAATACTGACAGTCCCACCTTGTGATGGCTCAGTTTAGGATTTTAAAAAATTTATGATACTGCAAAATGGATGTGAATTAAGTAGAAACTATACTTCAGATTTGGCATTTTGATCTTTTCAATAAATTATGTGATATTCAACTCTAAAAATCAGTTTTGTGTTCAATGAGTCTCCCCAAATGTGGGCTATTGTAAGTGTTCTGAGCATGTTTAAGACAGGTGAAGCTAAGCATGATATTTGGTAGGTTAGGAGTGCTATATTAAATGCACCTGAAACTTTTGACATAGTTAATTTATGATGGGTTTATTGAGACATAACCCCATTGTAAATGAGGAACACTGGTAATGCAAAGTAATGAAGAGTTGAGTGCTGAATAGGCAATAAATTAGGAAGGACATACTTGGGAGTGCACTTGCAGTGAGCCCCAATGGATCCAAAGGAGTCAGGCTTGTAAAGATCTGGAAGGAAATTTCATCCAGAGGGAACAGCAAGTGCAAATGTCCTGAGGACTAAACGAACTTGGCTCAATCTGGAACCCAAGACTGTCATGACTAAGGCTAAGAAACATGAAGGAGAGGAGATGAAGTTGGAGTACAGGCAGAGGCTGGATAATACAGGACACTTGTAGATCAGGGATTTGGGTTTCAGTTCAAGTACAAATGTGTCTGGAAGAACTTTTGAGGGCGCTCCCACCTGCATCTCTGTATTCTTTTTAGGATCTTTTGTCAGAATCAGTTGTTTTCTTTCTTGTTCACCAACTGCTGCTATGTTAATTTTATGTGAGTTTAAGGAAGTGTATCAAGGAATATACTTTTATTTTAGAGACTGAAGTTGAGTTACATATCAGGAACACACATTTTTCTCCACAGCCAAGGTCAACGTTTGAGGATCACATCCAAGTCAAACAGCCAGGAGCACCTGGAATGCATCCCTAGGTGGTCTAAGACTGTAGCTGCTAACCACTCACCTGGCCAAGCTCAGCCTGTAACTCATCTCTCCGTTACAGCCTCAAAACCTATGGGTGAGAGGAGGATTACTACTGCCATCAGCTGCCACATTTATCATCGCTTCTCCACCTCCCCAAACCTCCTGCCTTCTTCCATAAATAAAGCAAAAGCTCCCATTCAGATGAATACAGACAAGTAGATACTACTCTGCGGAGGTTGTCTACAGCCAGGAAAAACTATCCTCCTGTCTCTGATTAGATGCCTTCTAAATGTCCTCCCAAGGCCAAGGTCAAACAATCACCAACCCAAGTCAGGGGCCTTGAACATACTAAGTATGTGCTCTATCACTGAGCTACACCCCCAGCGCCAACTACCAATTCTATCCAACAAAAGAGGCCACTGTATTTTCATCATTGCCACAAGGACTCATTCCTATATTAGTCTTCAAGTCACCATCATCCAAAATTGAATACTATGGGTATCTGAAATTTCCTTTGAAATTTAGGCAAAAGAATAAGATGGGCTGATGACTAGAGAGATGGATAAAAGGACAAACTTATGATAAAGCAACTGTAGTAACATGTTAAGTTACCAGTATGTGGGTGAACCTTACAGTGGTTGCTAGAGAATATATGGGGAACCACTACACAGTGATTATGAGAGAGCATATGAGTGACCACTATACCATGATTCCAACTGTGAACATTTTCTAAATAAAACACTGCCAATAGTAAGTTACCAGGAAACAAGGAGACTGAGCCAGGAGAGGACAGACTCTCTCAACACTCTTGGTTTGTTTAGGGCGCACTTGGGCAGTTCTCTTGAGCTCTCTGCTTCTCTTTGTATTTAGAACTTAGCTCTATCACTTCAGTTTCAGGGTGCATGAGAATTGGGTGCAATGTTAATTAAAAATAAAGATTCTTGGAGATTCAGGCCCAAAGATTCTGAATTTGAATGAAGCTTACAAATACACTTCTGTAACAATCTCTTCAGGTGAGTCTGGTAAGAAATCTGCCCACGAGGAGGGACACTGTCCTGTATGAAACAGTGAAAGCCAGTATGCAGCAGACAGCAGATAACTTCCTTTGCCCTGATGAAGAGGAGCCCATGATTTAGAGATTAATATTCCTACCACTTAAAGGAATGAGAGTCTCTTATATCTCTTAATAAACTAAAAGATTTTAGGGTTTCATGAGCAAGTATTTGTACAGGAAGCCCTTTTGATGGTTGCATCAAAAAAATTGTCACTGTCATTAAAAAAAATAAACATTTCTTAGTCAAATGATTACATTTGATGAAGTCACATTGAAAATGAAAGATTTTTTGTTTTGGTACCAGGGATCAAACTCAGGACTTTGCACTTGCGAGGCAGGCAGTGGCACCACTCAGCTAAATCCCCAACCTGAAAGATCTTATTTTTGCTGAAAAGAAGAAAGAAAGTTGCATTTTATTTACATTTTAGAGAATCCTTCCTTTTCTTCTTTAGTATTAAAGATTTAATATTTTTAAAATGAGAAAGAACACATTCACAAGAAAAGAGATTGGGAAAATATGATATGATGGGTTGTTAGACATTCCAAACCTCGTGCCACTTTTTCAATTGAGGATTTGATTTTTCAGCACCTCCTACTCAAAAATTTTCGCTGGCTCTCTTATCTGTATTAGCAATTGGGCAATCATGTGGACACAAAGTTGGATCACACCTGCTATCCTGAAATGAGGCCACAGCTCATAAAGGACCATGTCACAAAATAAAATGTGATGCCTAGTATAAAAGAGATACAGATTAAACATGTTGGGAATTTAGAGCAGAGAGAGGTAATTTTTAGCTAAAATGATCAATACAGTGGAGCTTCAAGTTGTGGCTAAACAAAAACATACTTAGCTTGGGCATGCAGAAACAGGGTAGAGGGTTTCAGCCAGGTGGGTGATATGAAGGAAGGCATCACGAATAGAGGGGGGCAAAGAAAGCATCAAAGAATTTCAGAAGGCCACTAAAACTCAGGCTAGAGAGTTGGGCCTTCCTTTTATGCTTGGGTGATGAGCAACCACCCACAAGTCTTGGGCAGGAGAGTGAAATGACTGCAGCTTTTCCTTGGGGATATTCTTTCAATAGCTTTGAGCAATTTGTTTGGCTATGAAGGTTGGGTAGACACTGCTATGTAAGTTCAGGAGAGGGAAGGGGCTTAACCTCTAGCAGTAGTCATGGTGCTAGAGTCGCGGGAACAGCACCAAGAGAAACTGGGAGTTGAAACCAGTGAGATTTGGAGACTGATTTGTTTGGATAAGAAGGGTGGATTTGGAACAGGGGCTAAGGTTTTAAGTCCATGAAAGTAGAAGCTGGGAGGAGATAATGGCAGAGACATAAAATATAGAAGGGACTAACTCTACTTGTTGTCAAAGTAAAAATTTCAAAAATAAAAAGATGACTTTCATACAAGTATACAAGGTATGGTCAAAGTATACGGTGAATGTTTAAATTTTTAAAAATTCATTACAATGAAAAACACATTGGCATTAATCCCCCTCAAAATACTCATTTCAAATGCACTTACTTCATCATTCTTGCCACCTCCTGCAGCAGTTCTAGAAGTCTCTTTTATGAGTATCTTTACCAGGTATGATTAAACTACTGTCACCTGCCATCTAAAAGAAAGGCAGGCTCATAAAAAATTATGATGTGTGTCCTCAACCACCTTTTCCCCCAAACCCAGCACCATGTGGCTCTTTCTAGAAATCAAAGTGACCATGAAAGGTGAATATTCTGAAGCAGTTCAGGATATCAAGGCCGCCATGACAGCACAATTAAAGATACAAAGGACTTCCAGAACTTGTTCAGAAAGTGGCAAGAACTGTGGGAGAAGTGTGTTTGTTGGGAGATGGAGTACTCTGAGAGTGGTTAGGCAATATGTCTTTTACTGTAGTATATTTTATTTTGTTAAATTCTTTTATTGGTACATTGTAGGTATACAATACAATTACATTTCTCATTGGGAATTGTACCTTTACATAATGCATCTT